TCCTCTCAGTAACACTGACATTACTATTCCCCTGCATCTCTCCCAAGAGGCAGTGCTGCCATGGAGCAAACCAATGCAAGTCTGGTTTTTCAACAATGCAGTGGAATGCTTAGAAATTGACCCGGGCTGGGGTGATTCAGGTCAGCGAGAGGTGAGACACACTCTCACCTCTTGGATCACATGTTGGAATCCATTCATTGTCAAGGTGGAGAGCTGGTGCACCAGATACCCATGGAGAGGCTGTGAGTCAACTAAGAAATGCTTAGGTAAGGGGGTCTCTTACAACACTTGGCCCGTAGAAGACACAGATACAGATTGAAATTGTACAAATACATGTACAATGAAGACATTTTGCTTTCTCCCTGGTGAGAATTAGGTTTATAGACAGAAACTAGAAATAGGCCCACTTCTAGACCTAATCTAGTCTCTGAAGGACTATACTGTCATTTATGTTAGATGCTCTGTATCAGAGGATGATAAGGAAGATGGAACAAGGAAGCCAGTCTCTCTTGCCTGTCTTCCACGTGTCAGCTCTAGACACAGTCAGCTGCACCGCATCTGGTCCCGGGGAATCACCATTTCCAGCCCTGCCATATTCAGAAGTCAGGGAGAAAGAACCCCTGAGCCTGCAGTGCTGAACATCAGGTCTTGGCTAAAATGCCACTCATGCACAAGAGGCCTTTCCTGACCTCCCTTAGGCAGTCTGCTGGCTACCTGTGTCACATTATCATGTTTTATCTTCATTGTAGCACTTGTCCCTAACTGAAATTTTCTTGTTTATTTATCAGGGGGTTTTTGTTTTGTTTTGTTTTTTTGTCTATTATCTTTCTTCCTCCCCACCCCCAAAAGAGTGTACTCAGTTCCATGGAAGAGAGACCTTATCTGTCTGGTTCAATGCCATAGCCCCAGCACCCAGCACAATAGGATCCTTGCAGGCACTCATTAATGTTTGTTGAATAAATGAATAAATGTTGGTGGAGAGGAAACTTCAGACCTTCTTCTCACACCTCAGCTGGTGCCTGTCCCAACTTCTCTCCAAGCGCAGCCCAGTTGCTCACAGCATTAATCAGGCTATGATGCCTGGTGAGGAAACTAACTAGACATTGACAGGCATGGTCCCCTGTGTCTCTTTATCAGGTTTCCCACCTAAGTATTGATCGGGTTTTATCTTTTGAAAAAGGTCCACAATGCTCTTGAATTTCATCTTTCTTTTCATGAAGCAAAATCTACCATCTTCTAGGTCAAAATTTCCACCACACTCACAACACACAACATTTACACACAGAGTTTTCATTTAGAATATTATTTGCTTATTAATGTCTTATTTGCTTAGTATTTGTTCAGTTACGAAGTTGTACTTTGACTCTTATTCTGTTTTTTTCTTATACAGAACTTGGGAACCTTGTAAATAAATGGGAGTGGGGATGTTGGACAGGGCAAGATTGGGGAATTCCTGGATACCTAGCCATAATACCATAAAATAAACCCAAACACTATTCTCTTTACCTCTCACACTGAAATTTGATCATAATTTTGTCATGTGGTAGCTGGTAATTCTGCAACCTATGTGTGGAAGTATGTTGTCCTCAGAGGATTCCCATTTCAAACTTGGCACCAAGAAACCTTTCATATGACAACTTCCCTCTCTGTGAAATTGTCTTCTATCAGATCAAGAATAGCTGAACGGAAAGATTTCTGTCCCTCATTATATCAGGACTCTAGAAATGTACCACATGGCCTAAATAAGGATGGAAGGATCAAAGTGGGAGGAGATGTAAGCCTTTGCCCTCAGAATTCACCACCATCCCCCCTAATCATGCCCCTACTAATACTGTCTTGTTAGAATGAGAGGTTTTATGTTTACTGTCTATCCACAAGAGCAGACTCCTCTTAATAAAACACCATGACTGTCACTTTTATTATCCTGCCATGTGGCATGTCAAAGATCATTTACAGTCGTTTTGAGTAGTAAATTCTACCTGGCCTAAATAAAATGGACTTTACGGCAAAGCTATAAAGTTATTTCAGATCTTACAACTCTTTAGACGTTTATCCTTGAAGAGCATGTCTGTGGTATCTTAATAACTTCCCTAACTGTAGTGTTTGCAATTAATGAAGGATGAAGTGATTTTCCAAAATTTAGGTGAGCCAGATAAGCTGAAATTAGTAATAAACATACCTACCATGCTTTATCTCCTTAATACATGTCAAACTCCAATTCATCTGAAATGAAATTTTGTGCAATTGAATATTGCTTGAAAAAAATAGCCCAGGAGGAACTTGAAGAGTTTTGCCCTGATAATGCTTGCTGATTTAAGATTTGATTTATACTATTTTTGTTTTTACTGTTACTTTATTTCAAGTTGTATGAAATCATTCATCTTCAGGAAAGGCCACAAAATAGGCTTAAGGTACCTTAAGAAATTAAATTCTAATTAACATATCTTTAATGAAAGTAGATTCTGAAGCTTTTGATAAATTCAAATCTAAATAAATCAAGATATAGACAAGTAAAACTTCAGTCATGTTTATAATCACAATCTAATAGACTAAAACTAAAATGATGTTTGGGATAAATATATATTAAAGTCTTTCCTGGAAAAAAAAATGGCAAAGCAAAAATACCTTGTAAATAGCCTGTTAACAATTCAGTGTGGACCACATTGGCAAGTGACATATAGTAGACCTTCATCCCCTAAATGCATGTAGCAGACCTCAGCCCCCTGGAGCTGGACTGGATAGCTTTGTATTCTGTTCCAGCAAGAAAATTCTACAAGACTATGAACATGCAGAGAGGGTAGCAAGTTTAAAAATTAACACTTAATTTTGTTGGGAATATGAAATGGCCTCATACCAGTTTCAATAAAGCAAAAGAAAATACGCTCTTATATTATTCATGCTCTTTTTCCTTAAATTTACTTCTCCCTTCATTTTCTTATTCCAAGTTTGCCATAATAAAAATTAGTGTGACTTTCCTCTCCACAATTTTCCACCTGGCACTGCCAATTTTTGGCAGCAACAGCCAAAAACGAGTAAGGTTCTGATAAGAACAGTTGAAAAGCTCCAAGAGCTTCAACAAAAATCTGTTTTTAGGAAATGTATAGAACGTTCACACAACTTTAGTTACTTTTTTTCTGACCTTCAGACTGGGCCTCCTTGCAGGACCAACCCAGCAGCCTGCCTGGGAGAAACTAGGCTGTTACTTGCCACTAGAGTAATACCACCCCCACATAATTATTGCTCCCTCCCACTCCCCTCCTACCAGGCAGCCTACTTTAGGGATCCTGTTTGGGAAAAATAAAGGATGCACTTACTATTTTAAATACAGGGAATTCCAAAGTCTACAGCCTTGCTACTTGCATATACATGTTCCTTGTTGAACTCTAAAGTTACACCACATGTGACTCCATAGAACAGAATAAATGATAAAAACAAAAGAACAAACCACCCTTCCTAGCCCTTCTAGGCTTTCATAATTCTTAGAAATTTGAGTTTCTGCATCTCTGTTTCTAGACTTAAGGAAAGACAATACTGCTTGTTCAATGAAAACAAACTGGCTGGGGGAGAGGGGCAGAGGAAGAGAAGAGGCTGCCTTTGAACTCAAGAGTCTTCCAAACTACAGTACATCTGCACTATTAACAAGTCCCTGGCAGGATCATTAAGATGTGCCGAACTGACGGTTCTGCCCTCGGAAGTATTTGATGGTGTATATAAACTGAGGAAGCCTGACAGCGAAGTAGCTGGTGTGAGTCTGAGGGATAGGACGGCAGGTTTGAGGGCCCTATTTTGCCCTGCTGGTGAGCTTGGGAAAACTGCTCCCTCCCTCCCTCATGCCCCTTCACCTCTATCAGTGAAATGGGAGTTGTAATAATAGCCTGTCCGACAAAACTCTTGCAGGATTTGCTAATAATGGTGATAATAAAATACTTGTAAAATTTAAGTGCCATAGAAATGCTCAATTATACGAGCCAGTTTTGCCTGGGCAGTCAGTTTCTCTTCTGACGTCATTTAAAACATGTTCTTGGGCGTTATAATCTCTTTCATGATACCAGGGAGACAGCAGATTGAGTGAAATATTTCTAGCCTAAGAAGGGCAACAGGAAAAATTACCCTGCTAGGGTTTATGCAACACTTTCATTCACATTCTTTCACTGAATCACGATAAGCTTGTGAAATAGACTGGGCAAATAAAATCATTCTCATTTTATGGAAAAAGAAATGGAAGCCCAGAAGCGTTCAATCACTTGCTCAAAGTCATCTGGCCAGGCAGGCTAGAGTTCAAGTTTCCTCTCTCCTTGCACTCTTTCTAATTTACCACACTGCCTCTCAAAATGAGAAGGAATGGCATTTAATTGATGGATTATTGTTATTCTTTATTTCTGCTCACATTTGCTGAGCACTTGCTATATGTCCACACATTATCTCATTTAATCTCACAATTATGAAGCAGGTACTGTTTCTTAAGGAAATCTTCACTGACCACCTCAGTCCAAAAAGAGAGCTCCTTCTACTAAAGTCACACAGCATTTTTCCTTACAATGCTCATCTGATATATATCACGGACAGTCCTTTATTTTAGCTAAGTTTTCACACACACACTACACAGTGATGTCCTCAGGAACAGGAATCATATCAATCTTGGAGCCTCCATGGTACTCAGAACCGTGCAGTGTGCGTTACAGATGCTCAATGAGTATTTGTTGCTTGAGTAATCACAGGTATATGATTTTTAAAAAATACTTATATGGAGCCAAGTTTCAGAGTAATAAATATTTCACATTCCAGAAAATGAGAAGTCATAGCTCTCCAATTATTTGAGTGAACACTACATTAGCTGATTACATTTCTGCTTACCATTATTTTATGTCTCGGCTATACCTTAGAAATACATATTTTCAAGGCGCAGGATCTGCCAGTGGATATCAACCTATTATGCAGAACAAGGATCTCACACATGGCTGATCTGATTACCCAAAGCTCTTTGCCTGGTGGCTCCTTACCTGATAACATATTATCTGTTTTTATTGAGGGAAACTTCAAAGTCATTTCATGCTTGTGCCTATGAATCATCAGATGGTCCTCTGTTGGGAAGCGCTGTCAGATAAACAGAAAAAACGGGAGAAGGGAGAGGAGCCATTCAGTTTTGTAATACATATTTGCCATCATAGAGAAAACGATTTATTCAGCATTACAAACGTGACAGGCAAAACAAAAAATTAGTTCTGAAAAGGTGTGAAAGCATAAGTAAAATGACAAATTATTTTATGCAAGCACATACGCATTCACGTCAGACTCTGGGTAAGAATTACACGTCATGCTTAATTATTTGACATCTATCTCTACAAATGTACACCATGCCATTTGCACAGTATGTTTCTGTTTATGAAGATCTTGCACACTGATTATCTGATTTTTTATAATTATACATATGGTTTAGAGTAACATGACAAATTATTTTCAGTGTTCTATATTACACTCTGTACAGTGTAGTAAACCAACACTTTATTTTTCATTTTCACACAATGATATTACAGTTGTCAAAAATGCTGCTCCCAAATATTTTCAGCTGTCTGGCTTCCAGTCAAATGGTGGGACTGGATTTTCTGGCCCTCTTGTGATTGGATGGGGCCATGTGAGTGGTTCTGTCTATTGAGTCATGAATGGAAGTGACATGTCACCCAGATGTGAGCATCTAATTCTTGGTGTCAGACCCTCTCCCCTTTAGGATGGCAGTTCACAATATGAGAAACAGTGGCCCCTCAATCATCCTAAATCTCTGAAGTAGATTATGAAGAGCATCTCTGAATTCTGAAGAATGCTGAAGAATTCTGAAGAATGTCCTGCCACTCTATAATTGAAATGTATGGTTGGGCAACTGAAATAAGCCTCTATTATTTTAAGCCATTGAAGCTTTGGAGTAATGTCTTATTGTAGCAGATCCTAGCCTATCCTAACTCAGACTGGTATGTTTTAATAACTGAACTTAACAGAGTACCTGCTTTATCAAAGTCAAATGAAAATACAACAAAACACAACAAAATCTGCTGAATATTTCCAATCTTTGACAATCTAGAAAATCTTTCAGGGCTTCCCAGTTCTTCAGAATAGTCATTATAAATTTCAATTACCATTGTATACAATGGTAGAAAACTTTTCTGCAAATACATGAGAATGAGGGAATTCACTGGGCTAAATTCTTTGGAGGACTCTAAAAGTAGTTCTCCAAATAAATATCACTTATTTCTTTGCCATCTGTATCATACAAATAGGAAAGCACTGCAGTTGCAAAGCAGAGCGATTATGCCAGATTTCTGAATACACAGAGGTCTGATTTATAATGACATGTGGGTTTTTACTACAGGATCATCTATTCCCTTGGTCCTCTGTAACACCCATAGAATGACTGCATCAAATATGTGACACTACCATGTGTGGCTTAGACACATAGGTTAATGCTTTTGACAGAAAGACTACGAAGTAAGAAACTTATTATAATCTTTCCTATAAAATATGTAACCAGTAAACAACATGGTAATATCCTTCATTTGCAGTCATTTTTGGAGCCATTTTTTGGGTGCCATAAAATAATAGCTTAAAATAGAATACAAATGAGAATACTTACTATATACTACTAATAATTTCCATAATACCTCATATTAACTATAATTACCTTTCAAAAGAGACAATATAGGGTATCTGTGATTTTTTTAAATTTGGTAGGAAAATAGCAGCAAATTGCATATCCAAAATGTACAGTCTGTAACAGATACAGAGCTGAGAGAGGCCACTGGAATTTAAAACATGGTTAAGGCAGAGGGCAAAGGAAGAGTGAAATTAACATTGGACTTATCAGATCAGAAAGAGCAAGAGAAGCTTGTTTCTCTTTACTTCTAGGACAAAGCTAATGGAGCCATAACAAAAACACGAAAAAACCTCTGACATATTATAGGCTGTTGCTAACAGAGCAAAGTTTCTTTCCAATGAGGGAAAAATGGGGGGAAATCCATCCATCGCTCCCAACACAGCACAAGCATTCATAATTCTTATTTACTCTCCTTTCTGATTCCCAGCCATCCTTTCTTCTCTGTGAGGTTCCCAGGCTATGGGACGTCTCTGAACTAATGATTGACTGTGGTCCCCTAACACCCCACCAGGAGACCCTTGGAATCACAGGCCAACTACTACATTCTCTCAATTCTAATACCTCTTCCATTGAAAAATGCTCATATTTTAATGACAGCTTGTCAAGAAAAAGGAACACTTTCACATTAAACAGAGACATCAAGTTTTAGATACATCTTTCCATTTAAATCTGGTGGGGGTTGAGGGAAGAGGCCTGGAATTTTACCTTAAAATTGTATGTAAATTCTCAGTTCTCATATTTGTCCAAACCTTTCCTCAGTCCACTGAGCCTTCTCAAGGAAATGATCTGCTCCTTCAGTCAAGTTCAAGGTCATTTGAAATGCAACCCTTCAACCTTTATTATCACCTCCATCTCAGAGTTGGCTTTAACTTCATAGGCTCCATTTCCATTCCCTCCTGTCTCAGAGGAGTAAGCAGCCCCCACGTCTTCTTCGGGATCCTCTACACCCCATGTCTTCTGGGATTGACGCTCCAGCTCTGGTCTTGCAAGCCAGCATGCTCACTCCTCCTTGCCCTTGACTAAATCCAGCCTGGCAAGCCTTTACTCTAGAAAGAACCTCTCTAAAGCTGCTTCCTTCTCAGGCTACCATTATATCACTCTGCTTCCCGTCACTGCCTAGCACTCTTGAAAGAGCCCTCTATGCTGGCCACCTCCACTTCCTCACCACCCACTCACTCAGTAATCCCTTCCAATCAGGCCCCCGCCCTGACTCCTCTCTCATAGGTCGCCGACCAGCACCAAAGTGCCAAACCCAACAGCCTCTGCTCAGGCCTCTCGCTGTCCCAGCTCCAGTGGCGTCTGACACCAGTGACCACACGTCTGCAGCACTGCCTGATTCCAAAAAGGAGAAAAGATGGCTTATAGCAATACCTAAGACAAAGTGGGAGAGCATCACTTTGACGTATGTGGTCCCCAAAAAGGAAGGGATCCAAAAAGAAACCAGGCTAAAGCCAAAATGCAAGCCATCTGGCAGTCACTGTCAACTGGGGCCAATCCGGCCCCCAAAGGGACATTAAGCAATACCTGGAAACATTTTTGGTTTTCGCAGCTGAGAAGTGCTCCTGGGATCTAACTGGTAGCCGCTGCTAAACATCCTGTAATGCACAGGGAAGCCCCCTCCCCAACAAGGAATTATTCAGTCCCAAATGTGAGTAGTGCCAAGCTTGGGAAATTCTGCCACACAGTCCAAAGGCCTCCTCACAGTTTTCTTTTCTCTGTCTTATCCAGATGTTGGATGCGCCCAAAGACCCCCTCCTCAAAAGGCTCTGCTCTACCATCATGCACAACCCAGGACTGTCCTGGAATCCTAACTCGCCATGATCCCTCTTTGGCCTCTGCTAAGTCTCATGAGGATCCCATTCCCTTAAATGCCATTCCACAGAGGAACCCCACTACTGTCCTCCCCAAGGAAAGTAAATCCCCCGATGATACCCTTCAAGGTGGCCCATGCTCTTCCTTCATGGAAAACCACAATTAATTAATTAATTGATGATTTTATCATGTGGTTTCACACATGATGCTTAGACTAGAAGCTCTGTGAGTGCAGGGATACATGTGTTTTATGCACACATAGGCTCCCCAAAAATGTGTTGAGTGACTCAAACTGAATAAAACTTAATGTCACACTTTCACAGCCAAAGCAAAGCAAACTGCTCAAATTATTGGATCCTTTCTGGCTACTGAGACTTAAGGAAACTAAGTTTAATTTAGTTAGGTAAGTCAATTCGCTGTATTAACAATGGAGAGTCCTGGTCTGGCAGAATTTCTCCCAGTACTTCAACCTATCTGTGTTTTCCCAGTGTTTCCTATTTCAAAATGACTTCCAAAACCAGCTTGCCAGAAAATAGTTGAAATTCAAAATAATTTTCTCAACTGCTTTTCTTATTTATAGGTTGAAAGCCAGCATTCACTCAAAAGTCCCTGCAGAATCTGCCAGAACCCAAGCAAAGGACTCTGGTTTCTCAGCCGGTGGCTGATGTCACTAGAGGCACTGCAAGGCAGCACCAGCAGTAACATTTCATGTTTCCATGGCATCTTCCCTCCAGGAGGCTTCCAGAACCCTCCTCAAACTCTCTGGGGAGATACAATAAAAGGGGTCCTCAATGGATCTCACCCCTCATTGACTCCCAGACAATCGTTCCACATTCTGTTGTGAACCCCACCATGTAAACAGGCAGGAGAGTGGGGCTTGATTCCACTTGAAACTACCATGCATTTTAGAGAAGGACAGTATAACTATCCACATGTCTGTGCTCTGAGTTCTAAGCTTGTCGTGTATCCCATAAAATGAAGATCTTGGCATGACCGCGAACATGTGGGTCATTGCCCAATGATGAGAACATGGAGATCTCCAAAGGGTCAAGTGTAGAAAAAGTCACTGACAAGTTCCAAAAGGAAAATGCCAAAGTTCGATTTTAGATGATGGGTGTTTCCAGTTTCTTTCAAAGAGATGGGTTCATGTATAATAGTAGCAGCAGCAGCCGTCATAGCAACAGTAGACCTCAACTGAGCGCAGTGCACCGGTCCTACACCAAACACTCTACACACAGAGCCTCACCTCATCCTCCCGTCTAATCCACTTGGTGGGAGCCATCAGAGGCTACACAGGTTTAATCCAGCACAGCAGGCCAACTTCCTCTCTTAAAGTTTAGATAAATGGGAAAACTGTGGGTTCTAGAAGAGCTACAGGGGGTTTATTTTAATTAAAAGGGAAAACAGAACAAAATCGAATTCTGTCCCCAATGGCAAGCTATTTCACCTGTAATCCAAAGGCCCAGAATTCAAGTGGCTATTGTCAAAGCAGGCACCCTCCTCCCCCTGTTTGAAATAACAATCCTGAACATCTGGTGGGCAGGATGCGGCTGGCTTACTTCCAAGGGAAAGTTATGGGTGGAAATGGCCGGCACCGATGTATTTCAGAGGCTGCGAGGGAAGTTGTTCAGACTATTCAAAGTGGAAAATGATGATGATGGTGATGATGAGGATGACAGGGAATATCTTGGTGAAGAAGGACAGTCCACCACAGACATGACTGCCAAGTGAGAGTTGCCTCCCTGTGGGAAAGTGGGTGCGATCCCTGCCGGCCAGAGCAGAGGACCCCCATACTCACCTGGGAGCAGCCTGGGGCACTGCAGACAAACGGCCTCTCCTGCTCCAAATTCATCTTGGATTCCTCATAAATCTAAAGGGTCAGGGAGAGGGAGGAAGGAAAATAGAAAGCCATGAATATCTCCTTTTACCTGACAAACATGAGAAGGGCAATGGCTCCGAGCCCCCTCGTATGCCAATTCCCAAATGAGACGAGGAAAACACTAACGTGAACAGAGGTCCTGTCCTGCTGAAGGTCCTTAGGCTCCCCGCAGCCCGAGTTCCTATCACGTTTTCTCGAGCACATGTCTACTGTATTTTGAAGGAAAATGCCAACAAAATGCAACCAAAAAATTTCTGTTGCAGCAGAAACTCTACCTGTGGAAATAACACCGGGTGGGTGTTATTACCAGGTAGAAGCCCACCTGTGCAAGAAGATTCCAGGGCAACTTTTGCACTAGTCCTTTGGGGTTGGCTACTTAGCACAGCAAGAGAAGGGGAAGTTACTGAGCAGTCATCAGCGTGAGGACTGACCCTGAGCATCAGGTCAGATGATTCACCCATACTCACCCCAGAGAGCTTCAGTATGAACAAGGGATGCAAGGCTGCCCTGCAGCCCCCTTAGCGAATGGCCCTGGTGGTCTTAAATTCCCTTTCATTTCAGGCATTTGATGATGTCTCAACAAAAACTATGTGAGTTGTGCAGGGGTGATGAGAAACCAGAAAATGCAAAAAGCATTACCTTAAATATTTTGTTAATTTGGTTTTACAGGCTGATTTGAAATTAAAATTAGATTAAGGCAACTGCCCCTCTGATCTAGATAAGTTATCTGGAATAAGGTAGCTTTGCAGGGAGAAACCGTATGTTATGATCTCAGACATGTGTTAAATTATAGTGTGGATTTTTCTTACGTAGGGGTTAGATTCCAAGGTAAGTTCATTAGGCAAAAATTGAGCATAATCAAAACTACCTTTGCAAATTCTTCCAAAAGCCAATAAAAGTACAGTATACATACATGACTGTGTGGGTTACTAATCTATACAGTAACATAAAATTTTTTTAAACATCGTAAGAAGTACTATACAATTGAAGTTCCACAATTTAAATAGTTCTCTAAATCATACTTTTCTTTTTGTCAGTTTTGGAATTGAATTTAAATAAGCTCAATTTTGTAATAAGTTTAAACATGTGCTGCTGTTGGGACATAGCTTTATTATAGAACTAAAACCTACTGCTTTGTCTCTGGACAAAGGAAGCCATTTGCTTCCTTAAAATCTACTTGAAGGTGATTCCAAAGGAGTTCCAAGTCGTCTTCACCCTTGAAAGAGGGAACTCTCCTTCACTCATGGAAAGGTTACCCTTCATCCAACAAAACTTATGTCACCTTGCAAAACAAAACAAAACAAAACCTCAGTTCTTCCCCCAAACACTAATAAACCCACATATATTCTTTGGGAAAAGGATGTGTACTTTCACTTCTCTGAAACACAAAGTGAGAAGACTTGCCTTGGATAACACTCTTAGTCAGATATTAAAAACAAAGCAAATTTTAATATACCAACTCTCTTCACATCACTCTCTTTCCTTATCGTAAATTTTCTCCAAGTAATGCCCTTTTTCACTCTCCATTTGGAATGACTAGTCACCTGTTAAGGCAGTAGCGTAACATAATTTTACAGCTTGCTCATATCAGGCATATTGTTTAAACTTTTTTACTCTATTATACTTAGAAGAAGCAGAAGAAAATACAAATATCTTTAGAAGCTTTCCACTCGCCCTTGTCTGAGAAAAGTCATGAGCAACTAAAATGACTTCTCATGTCTCATTATTCATTTGATTTTTTCCATCACCTATCACAGAGCCTCGCTCCTCTCCCCTGTGAATGCTGACAACTTACTTCTAAGCCTCCAAATAAAGGGTGACTGTGAAACTGAGAAAATGATTTTTTTTTGGTCTAGGTTTTTATTTGTTTATTATTTATTGAAGTATAGTTGATTTACAATGTTGTGTTAGTTTCTGGTGTGCAGCATAGTGATTCAGTTATACATATACATATTCCTTTTCATATTCTTTTTCTTTATATGTTTATTATAAGATATTGGACATAGTTCCCCATGCTATACAGTAGGATCTTATTGTTTATCTATTTTATATATAATAATTTGTATCTGCTAATCCCAAACTCCTAATTTATCCCTCCTCTACCCTCTTTCCCCTATGGTAACCATACATTTGTTTTCTATGTCTGTGAGTCTGTTTCTGTTTCATAAATCAGTTCATTTGTGTCATATTTTAGAGTCAGCCCTCAAATCATTTAGAATTCAGTTCATTATGTTCATCTGGGTCACTACTGTCATTATTTTATTTTAAAAACGAATGACTCTGTATCAATTTATTACATGCTATAGATCCCATGGACCAAACATTCTGGCAACATACGATTGGAATAAGAGTCATAAGGTAAAATGGCAGTTGCTAAAATAAAATAAGTTTAAAGTAATGAATAAGGTTGAAGTGGGTGTATATCTGTAAGTGTGTGAACCTCAGATGCTTTATTCTGAGACTCTGCTGTTCCCACATGTAGCCCTCTGTAAACAGCGCACTCTTGCTCATCCCCTTGTGTGTGGGTGTTGGAGACAGTTTTACTAAATAGTACCACTCGCCCCCAGAGGCTTCATGACTCTTATCAACTCGTGTGATCTGGTCTGATGGATTAGTCAAGAGTCATGGTCTATTTTTCTGGTCTATCATTATGGTTCTTTTCTAGCACATATTGTAATAATTATTCTCTCAAACAGACTTCTACACCAGCCCTGTGTATATTCTTTTATCATCCATCAAGTGGGGGGCAAATTACTCTGACATGATTTTAGCCAGGTTGCTCTGCATTTGGTCCTCAGAAGTTAGGCCTCATCCTCTCATTTCCCATTCAGTTGTTTCACGAGCTGGGATGGTTTCATGAACCAGGTTTTACTTGGCAGCCACCACACCCCAGGCTCCACTGCACAGAGCTGACATAGTAGGCGTTCAATAAATATTTGCGAAATGGATAATGGATTCTGAATCATCACAATAAACGATCTCAAACAGCTTGCTTTTTTTTTTTTTCCTACTCCTAAGGCAGTGGTTCTCAAACCTTCTGGCCCACAGCCAAGTTTTCAGCAAGGCAAGAGGTTGTGCAGGCCAACAATTCCACCTGTTCCCAGTTATGAGCAGAGAAGAAATCTCACCAGATTTAATGGAAAAAAAGTCAAAGTTGCTTTTAGTGCAAAAACAACAGGCTCGTTTTCATTAAATTTCACATGTAAATGTATTAATTCATTATGAATTCAGTCTGCTAACATTTTCATAGACATTGAAATCCCTGGAGTCCAGTCTATTAACCATGTGTGGACTGTTTATGACCCCTGGAGAGAGCCTTTGAGTAACATGGAGTGACCCCATATCTTTGGTTAAATACAATAATAATTGTTTCGTGGGGGTTGGGAGGTTTGGGGGTTTTTTTAATTGAAGTGTAGCCATTTTACAATATTGTGTCAATTTCTGATGTACAGCATAACGTTTCAGTCATACATGTACATACATATATTCATTTTCATATTCTTTTTCATTATAGGTTACTACAAGATATTGAATATAGTTCCCTATGCTATACAGTATAAACTTGTCGTTTATCTATGTTATATAAAATAGTTAAGATCTTCAAATCTCAAACTCCCATTGTATCCCTTCCTCCTAATTGTGGCCAGAGCTGTATAATCATAATAAGAATTTCTTTGAAAAATAGTACTATTTTTTGGTCCTCTTTTCCAAAGTTCAGATTCGATGTTCACTTAGAACAAATGCCTCAAGAGTCTAATTTCCCTTCAAATTTTTGGAAAACAACACAAAACCCTAATAACAAACCCTAATGGTGTATAAAGTGAGTAGAGGTTTTTCATAGCTGACAAGGAGATGACAGGCTTGATTTACAATTCAGACCCTAAACTGCCACTGGATTCCTCTGGCCTTGCAGTGAGCAAGAATCTCTTTCATTGTTCAGCGTTTGACCCCACAAATTCCTCCTGGTCTAAAATGGGAAATCTTCCACGATGCCTGACGCAATCCATTCAAACGCTTTGCCAGGCATTTAGGGATATACTTGGAATTACCATTTCATGAAGGGCAAACATTGCAAGAAAACAAATGTTAGCAAAAAAACTTGGATAGTCTACACAAAATACTGTAAGTATGTATTTTAAACTTAATAGTAACAACTGAGTCCAAAGGAAAAAAAAATCCTACATCATCTGTTTTGCTGTATGTAATCGGCCAAGAGTGATGCTTCGTCGTCTAAATCACAGTAAGTCATTACTGACTCTTAGTTAACAGCAAACTCCAATTTCAGTGGGCTGGCCCAAGTTTCCCCCGATAACAGCAGATAGATTTATACAGTGATGTGGGATTTGGAATAGTAGGGCACTAAAAATGTTGTTTTAATCTGAAAATCTCGCATGCACTTTTATCGCCACCAAAAGTTCTGGGAACTTCAAAGCTACAAACTGAAATTGTAAGTACAAATGAGCACTAGTATTAATACTGGTATGTTTACATTGGCTCTGGTATTGTTAACCTGGACATGAATGTATTACAGATCTGAAAGGGGGGCCTGCATTTTAATAGTGATGTTAACACCCTCTGTCAGCCTTCATTGCCCCACGATGAGCGTGGAATGAGCCTCTTGGCAGGACTCATATAAAGCAGATCTCTCTCTCCTGTTGTACTTACTAGATCGCTGAAAAGGTTCTGGAGAAGGAGACGGGTCCTTCCTATAGGGCCAAGGTTAGCTGACAAACATCTTGAGTTAGTCACACTGTGTGAGAGTCCAGGTCAGTCTTACTTGGTTTCTGGGAACCAAGGTTGTTTATTAACTAAATTAGTTAAGGGCAGAGCCAATTTGTACTTTGTGTAAAGCAAATATTTCTCTCAATATATGTGTCAGAAAGGCAAACAGCCACACACAATTATAACCCAACACAAATTCACCAAAACACACACTAAATTATTTTATTCCAAGATGCTTGATTCTACTTTGAAAGCCAGGATCCAGGATG